GGCACTGGGCTTTGGTGCTCTGCAGAGCTGGCCAGCAGGACCTGTAATCTTAGGCAGGTTACTTTGTTCTTCTGTGAAAAGGATTGTGGTGAGGATTAAATGAACTAGTGGATGGACAGTCCATACTACACAGAGGGTGACCAGTAAGCACAGTGCTTCTAATGCTGCTGGAACCAGGGGCTGATGATACGCTAGAATTTTTCCAGCGGCAGGACTGAGCGTGCTCAGAAGGCTGAGGCCCGAGCACCCTTTGAAAGCTGCATGGGCCTATGCTGCCACCTAGTGGTCTGATCCCTCATAGTCCCTGTACCAGAAGCGCTCTCGCCAGGAGGGTTGGGCGGTTGGTCGGTCAGGTTTTGTTTTTGCAGCTTCTGCCTTCAGAGAAGTTTTGGGTAACTCTCGGCTGACCTGGTCATCAAACTATCCAAAGGTAGGGGTATGTGGGAACCCAGTAATTACATCAGAGAGTCCCCAAAGGGCAGGTTATTGTTCTTCAGGTTCAGGTGATATGTATCAGCGTCTACCAGGTGCTAGTTAGCTCTGAATGTGAATTCAGAGCTGGCCCTTTCCAGCCCTCTGATCCTGGGCCTCTGTCGCAGACAGACATTTACAGAGCGCTTAACGTGTCCAGGCAGCCTACAGAGGTTTTACCTGAATTTTCCTATTGGGTCTACCTGGGAGGTGGTTTCAGGCGAGGAAATGGAGCCCTTAAAAGGTGAAGTAGCCTGGCTAGGGCTCTGTGGCTGGACCAGTGGAATGGCCGAGCTTTGGGGCAGCCTCTTGCATCACCTACCTTCTCTGAGCTTCACTTTGCTCATTGGTGAAATAAGCGTAATAGAACTGACCAAATAAATGAGATGGTGCTGGTAAAGCACCTATCTCAGAACCTGGCTCGTGGGTTCCAAGGGACGGGGCCAAGGCACTGTATGTTACTGTTTGGGGAACTGGCAGACAGTTCTCAAAGGGCCTGCACCATTTTACAGCAGTGTATACGAGTTCCAGTCTCTCCACATCCTCGTCAGCACTCATTACTGTCTTTGACATTAGCCATCCCCACGGGCGTGAAACATATGAAGCAGCATCTCATGTGGTTTTGTTTTGCAGCTCCCTGAGGGCTAACGTTGTCAAGCATCTTTTCAGGGGCTTGTTGGCCACCTGTATATCTTTGGCGAGATGTCTCTTCAGGTCCTAGCAAAGCCCTTCTTCATTCACTGTACAATAATGCAAGTTAGAAAGCAGAAGATCAGGAATAAGACTAGAGTTCACAGTGTACCAGCAGATGACTCAGGCCAAGTCCTCCTAAACTCATTCCTGCTTGATTTAGGGGAAATGCTTCTTTACCCCCCACCCCCCACCAACACACACACCCTTTATTCCACAATACAGGGGCCGCACCCTCCTCTTGCCCAAGGCTGGTTTCTTTGAACCCTCAGCTCAGTGGCCTTAGATGAAGGCAGTAATCACCTCTTGGAGAAATCATGCCTTGTCTCCTGGCTTGTCAGCATACTTTCCCCAGCACTTTTTTTTTTTTTTTAAGATTTTATTTTTATTTATCTTTAGAGAGGGGAAGGGAGAGAGAAAGAGAAACATCAATGTGTGGTTGCCTCTCACACTTCCCCTGCTGGGGACCTGGCCCACAACCCAGACATGTGCCCTGACTGGGAATCCAACCAGCAGCTCTTTGGTTCATTCACAGACCAGCACTCAGTCCACTGAGCCACACCAGCCAGGGCTCCCCAGCACTTTAAAATGACACCCCACGTTCCTGCAGGACCAGGCTGGGAAGGACGCCTTTCCGCCTGCTGCCCTGGATGAGTGAAGCCAAAACCTCCCCCCACTGCAGAATCCTAATTATCATAATTGCGTCTCTCGAGCATTCTGCACTGGCACTGGGAGTCCCCTACATTACCTCTCTGAAGAACGGGGTTTGCTATAGAACCTAGGGTGATGCTGATATCCCCCACAGCTGGCTGTCAGATTTGAAGCTCCAAGAAAGTGACAGGGTCTGTGTTGTTCATTCACCGCTGTAACCCCAGGACCTAGCACCCAGCACATGGTCAAGAAATATTTGTGAAATAAATGGATAGACTGTACCAACCATTTTTGAGTACCTGTTCTGGATCAGGCACTCCATTTATCTTCCTTCGTCCTTCTAAGACATTCCTCGAAGTAGGTGTTTATTGTTCTCATTGTAGAGGTAAAGAAACCGAGGCCCAGAGAATAGGGGCCAGTGCCCTCACTGGGGCTGAGCACGGAGTTGGGTACAAACCTGGCGCTCCTCAGCTGCACCCAACCCCTCTCTGTGGTTAACAATGCACTTACCTGTCTCCTCAGGTTCTATGCACCTCCAGGAGGACCTACCTCAGCGCCCTCAGCCCGACTAGCGGCCGAGTGGCCCCCCACAGCCTCCTCTTGGCCAGCTGGAGGACAGCGGCACTCCATCCCGCTGGATCTGGAGGACCTGGAGGAGCTCAACAAGGCCCTGAGCCGAGCAGTCCAGGCGGCCGAGCGCGTCCGCTCCACCGCCAAGCACATGAGCCGCTCCCTGTCGGCCGACCTGCGCCAGGCCAACAGCCTGCGGGGCTCCTGCCTCTTCTGACAGCACGCAGCACTCGGAGACAGATGGCAGACCGATGAGCAGGCAGCCAGCCTGTTGCCGTCTCCAGTGAAGGCCCTTGAAGACCCCTCATGAGGAGTTCTCCCCACAGCACAGGCCCTGCGAGCTCAGCCTTGGTTTTTTCCAAACAGAAGGGCCCCGGTCATCAAGAGAAGTGACTTCCCAGGGCACCGTCCCCTGAAGGAAGTGTTGGGACCAAGGCCACCTTCTGTCCAGATGCAGTCTCTGGGGGTCTCCTGTACTTGTCCACCTCCAGCTAATAATATGTATTTTATATATGGATGGACAGATAGTTTTGAAGCGAGGAGTTTTCCCGGGGTTGGATCCTCCTTAGGAAGCCAGATCAGAAGGGATGGGTTCAGGGTCTCTGGCCCAAGCCTGTCCCCCTGCCTGTGATCAGCCACTTGGGAGTAGGCACCTCTGGAAAGATGTGGCTGGGGACCTTTCCCCTGGTGGCTGATGGTGGGACACTTTGGGATCACTGGGCTATCTTAGGATGTCGGGCCCCAGGATGGCTCACTCCCACTTCCCTGTGGTTGGGTCAGCCTTTGCTGTGGACCCGCTGGGCCTGAGACGCCTCAGGAAGCTATTCACGGTGGCCCCTCTCAGTACCTCATCTCCAAACCCCCGCTTCCTCCTGGGGACCCCTGTGGCCCAGGGCCAGGCCGTCTTCTGCTCCCTGACCCCATAGTAGCATGTACCTCAGCTTTTCTGGAATGTGTGTGCATCAGTGATATTTGTATATTTGAGGCATTTAAAAATTCTATTTTCGTTATGAAGGCACATGAAGAAGGAATATTGATCTTTAAAAAAAAGAAAAGAAAAGCCCCCCCCAAACAAACAAACAAACCCCAAAACATACCCAACATTGCCTGTGTCTCTGATGTGTCTCATTGACTTGTGGTTTCTAAAGTCAGCATGGTGGGGTGGAGGGTGGACGCAGAGCCCTCCCCCAGGGGACATGTAGGGTGCACATTCCCAGACTCTCCCTGCCTCCTCCTGGTGGCTTCTGTTTCTCAACCTTGTCCCTTCTGCCTATCTCAGAACCATAAACGTGTCAACTGGAGGGACCTGCACGGAGAGGCCATTTGGCCAGGCCTCTTTTTTATTCAGGCCAGAGACACAGAAACTTGGTGGCTGTAAAACACAAGACTGGACTCTTGCTAGTGCTCCTTTTAGTAGCAAACAGCAACAGCAGCTCTTCTTTACTGAGCCTCTACAGGACGCTGATCCTTGGGCCAAGTACTTACCATGGCGTACTCCACAGTGCACATTCCAGCCTTTCCAGTTCCCACTGTGTCCCCATTTTACTGATGACACTGGGGTTCCGGTGGGTCACCTGCCCAAATTCACAGTGGTCCAAAGTTTGTTTTTTGTTACTGATTTTCTCTTCCTAAATTTCTGCAGTTCTCATGGCTTTTTTGTCAACCTTCCCTACCTCCCCTCTTTTGCTTTGCCACGATAACCAGGACACATTTCTATTTCATTTTTCAGCTTCTCAATAGAGCTGAAAATGTGATCTCGTTGAAAGTAACGCTGAGATAGACAGATTCCTGGTAGGTTCTGAGTCTCTTGGTTCCTCCCTCTGGGTGCCAAGAGGCTGTCCCATGGATGTCAGGATGGAAAGGGGGGAGCCCAGGGTGGGGGCCCAGGGCAGTGACCTCAGACTCAGTGCGCTGGGCAGAAAGGTGGCTCGAGCTTGGAACAAAGGACGCTGGAGCTTAAGCCCCGGAGCTGGCTCTTTGGAGGGTGTCCGCGTGTGAGCCACGGGACTGAGCGTCGGGCCCCTGGGTAACACACCTGTTGCTCGACGTGGCTTAGGACACTTTGGATTTTCTGAACAACTCAGCTCCAACTTTTGTGCCACTTGAGCGGCGCTCCTTCCCTCACAGGACATAAATCGTGAAGGCCCCGTGTGAGGAAGAAGGCTGGGCTTTTCCTGCTGGACTCCTGGCTTCAGGGGCTCAGTTCACTTTATTCTACTCAGTGGACCCGCCTCCGACAGGGCCCCATCTCCAGGGCTCAGAACGCATGAGCAACAGGGCTGGTTTCTGGGGGCAAACTTCATTCCCCGGTGTCGTATCCTCTTGTGGATGTTGGGTGCCCAGAGGCTGCCATGAGGACACTTCAGGGAGACACCCAGCCCCCCTGACCTAGGTCCCTCGGTCTCCCCTGATCTGCCCCTGCCCTGGCCTGGGCCCCACCTCTTACCAGGGTCAGCTGCATCCACGGACTCCCCTTGCCTACAGCCAGGCCCTCCCAACTCGCCTCCCTCGATGGCCAGGCGAGGTCTGCAGAGAGGCCCTTCATGCCTGGCCACACCTGCCTCAGGCCCCCCTGTCCCTTAGCCACCTGAGCTCTCCTTTGGGTCCTATCTGGTGGTCCTCCCGGGCTCAACTCTGGGCAGCCTCAACGTGAATGATTGGGAGAATGAGTGAAGGAGCTTATGTGACCAAGTACTTATTCCAAAGCAGAAGCTTTATTGATGCCACAGAGGGAAAGAACTGAGGTACAAATGTTGGAAGGGGGGCTCAGGACAGACCCCCGACGTCTCCGACGTCCTTATCCAATACTGTGTCTCTCTCGGTCTCACCTTTGGCCTTCCTCTCCTCCTCATGTTGTTTCTCCAGCGTCTTACAGAAATCCTATTGGGGAGTGGGAAAAGAAGAAAGCGCATGATGGTAGGAGGGCAGGGGGCTCCTGGGGGGAACTGTGAGGTCCCCTCTGGACTGCGGCAGAAGCATGAGGATGGCTCTAGTCCGGTCTCTGACACTTCCGTTGGGTGACCTTGGGGAAGTCATTTCTCTCCCTGAGCCTCGGCTGATTCAGCCCTGGAATGGGGGCTCAAAGCCTTAAGAACAACTGGAATTTACAGAGCACTTACGACCTGCTAAGCCCTTATGTGGATCTGGATTTCTCACCACCATTTTGCAGAAGATGCGGCTGAGGCTCTTAGTGGCCGTGTGGCCTGACCGAGGTCCCCTGGCCCGTAGGTGGGCAGAGCAGGCTGTGGGCCAGGGAACCCCCTCCAGGGCCGATGTTCATAGGCCCTTTCCCGGGGTCCCCAGGAGCGAGGGGACAGTCTGTTTCACCCTTGGTCATGGGAGATAACCTCGTGGCAAGCAGATGGGGACATTTTTATTTGAATAATGCTGAAAGGATGCCATGTACTTCCAACAAAGTGTGAGCGGCTCATCAGCTCTGGGAGTTCAAATATGGTTGCGTAAAACAAGACCAAGTAAAGCCTTCCACTTAACACAGGTTTACAGGAAAGTAATGAGACCGTTACTCAGGTAATGCTCAGTTACAGCAAAAATCGGGCTGGTGGTCCTGGGCTTGCTGCCTGCAGTCAGATGACCCTGGGCACCACAATCATACCCGCCCTCCATTGCGTGGTTGAGAGGCCAGCATGGTGGCAGGGCCTTGCGACAATCTTTCCCTTCATGTGTCTCTTTCCCCAGCCGGCACCACCAGTCCTTGGCCATGCTGTCGCCCTCCTCTTAGCCTTCTCTATCCTCCCCCCTGCTCCACCCGCCTTCCCTGTTTCCCCAGAGACGTCCCTTCTGGGCTCTTGTCCCCCCCTCCTGCCATGGGCCTCTCTGAAGCTCAACAGTCTCTGCAGTGAGGCGGGCACTTAAAAGCAGGATCTCCTTCCTCGCTCTGCAACCCCAGTTGACAGCTTTCTCTCTCTGGACCTCTGGGCTGCCCAAGGCAGGAGAACCCTTGCATGAGCACCGCCCAGTCTGCCTTGTACTCACCTTTCTCGTGTTAGTGAACTTAACTTCCGACCTCTTTATGCCTCTGCACTTGAGTTCATTATAGAACTGTTTCCTTTGCCTCCTCGTCACCCTCGGACTGAGAGCTGCAGAAATAAAGGACTTTGAGGATGTTGCAGGGCCTTGTGACAGGTCAAGGACCTCTGGGGTCTGGGGTGCCATCCCCTGGAATGGGTGCTCCTCTGTGAAGCCTCAGTGGGATTTGGGGGGATGCTTACCAAAGAAGGATATCCCGATTTTCTGTGGGTCGTCTGGGAAAGCAACAAGCATGTAGATCTTGCGATCCTTGGGTAATATCAGGCGGCCAAAGTGTTTTCTGCCATTCTCTGGAAGAGAAAGCCTCTGGGTGAGACCATGGGAACAGCACAATGGTTCCCAACTCACAGGTGAGGAAACTGGGTGTGCCCAGGGCCACACAGCAATCGGCAGGGGCCAGGGGTCTACCTGGGCCATGTGTCCTTCTCTCTGACCGCACACCAGGCCCCACACTGAACACTGATGTGTGTGGAGTCAGAGGAGCTTCGCGTGAACTGTGGCTGTCGGGGCTTTTCTGCCCATTTTACAGATGAGGGACATGAGGTTCAGAGAGGAGCCTCAGGGCTCCTCTTTGGTGTTGGTTCAATTCCATTGGCGCCTCCTTGTTCCCACCCTGTGCCCCCACGGCAGTGATGGTGGAGACATGGGCGAAGTCACTTCCTGCCCAGCGAACAGGCTGCCACCGTTAGCTCCCAGAGGACAGAGAGGGGTTGAAGGGGGACAGTCCTGGAGCTGACTGGGGGGCCTAACCCAATTCTCGTCGCGAGCTGTGTGACCTCGTAGGAAGTAGTGGACATCTCTGTTTCTCCATCTTCTCATCTGATCACTGTAATGTCCTCCCAGGGTTGCTTAAGAGTATCAAGTGGGTTAATTCACATAAAGCACTTTGTACGGTGTCTGGCGCATAGAAGGAGCTCAGAAATGTTGGCAGTTATTACTGATTATTTTGGTGCGCAGGCACCGGGCCGACACAGATATGAGAGTGGGCCTCTCCCATGTCTTTGCCCAAAGCCCCCATATGCCCACCTCCCTTGGGCTTCTCCCCCTATCACCTCCCCCTTCCACACAGCAGCCCTTCCCCCGAGGGCTCACCATCGTATTTATACACGGTTCCATTTTCCCGGTGGATCCTCAGCACACTGTAGGTATAGATGCACCGGTCCCCACTAAAGCCAGACAGAAGTAGGGAGACTAACCATTAGATAGTAGAGGAGAAGTAGATAGTCTCAGTCACTGAGGGGCAAGAGTCAAGTGGCAATTAGAGTTAGACTCCCACCCATTCCATGCATGAGAAGGCTGAGGACAGGAAGAGAGAGGGGTTTGCTCAAGGTCTCCCAGGTGCTAGGAGTAGAAGCCAGAAGCGGGGGCTTGGCCTGGAGCTGAGCTGGCCAGTGAGGGTCTTACGTGGTCGAGTACTCTCTGAGCAGTAGTGAGTCCTTCGTCTGGTTGTATGTCATGTGAAAGAAGCCTGCCTTGAGGTCTCTAGTTGACTCCTTATATTCGGGGTCACGGTAAGCCCAGGCGATAAGGAACCACTTGCCAGAGATCTGGGGAAAGCCAGGAGCAGGTGATGGAGCTTGAGAGGAGACTGGGGCAGGTTTCTCCATTTTGCAAAACAGGAGACTGAGGGCCCCGGGAGGGAGCGCACATGCAGGAGCGGGCATGCAGGAGCTCACTCTAAGAATCAGCATCAGCCCCACCCCCGGCGGCCCCTCTGAGGGACTTTGCAATGAGGCTTCCAAGTTTAGAGGCAGGGGAACGCAAAGCCACTGGAGGCTGACCGGATTGCCTCCCCCGGAGCCTGGAGAGAAAAGGCAGCATCAGGAGAGGGCGCTGACCACAAGCCAGCAGGGTAACGGGAAACCCAGGGAGGGAGAGAGCTGCCCACGGCGTCAGGGGCCCAGGCACTCACCCGGTCCAGGGTGGGTTCGGTGATAGGAACCACATAATTGGTACATGCCAGCCTCCGGGCATCCAGCAGTGGAAGAAGGCTCAAGACTGCAAGGGCCCAAGGCAGTGCCATCCTGAGACAAAGATGCACCAGAGTTAGGTGGTACTGGTGGCTGAAGACTGTGGTGACCTTTATAATGAGCTGTGCGCAGGACCTTGGGGACCTGCTGTGACACAACCAGGAAGCACTTGGGAAATGTCACACACAGAGTGGAATGTTCCTCCTGGCTGTTAAAAGCCAAGATGGATACCCTGTTCAGCATGGCTCTGTTGGTTGGGTGTTGTTCCACAAAGTGAAGAGTTGCCCGTTATATTCCCCGGTGAGGGAACATGCCTGCGTTGGGGGCCCAGTTGTAGGTAGTGGCGCACGGAAGAGGCAACCGGTCTACCTTTCTCTCACGCGTTGATGTTTCTCTCTCTCTCCCTCTCTTTCTCTGAGGGACCGTGTCATGAGGGTATGTTTGTGATACAGCCTCTCCTGTAAGTCAGCTCCGCATTCCACCCCTTGGTTCTCACAAAGGTGAGGAAGGAAAAGAGAGTGGTGGGAATCACTGAAAAATAATCCTCATGCCATTATAGTTTTAACCTAATTCGTAGGCCACAAGTTTCAACAACAAATATCAACACATATTAATATTTACATATTTTTGTGTATATGGTGTTGCCCAAGTCCTATCTGATACAGGATTAACGCTCCTAGAGGAACTACTGCAAAACGGAGTTATGCAGAAGGCATCCCAAGGTGTTCGTGGAGGCACTATTAACGCACTGGGTAAATTTTGTAGCACAATTTATTTTGTAGTTTTAAATCTTGCCCAAGCTACAATAATTGTGCTTGGAAAGTACACCATGGAATCTTGTGCATTTACAAGTGTATAATCAAAAAATTGTAAGCCGAATAATTTTTTTCAGAGACGTTAACGTAAGTTTCACAACATTTTGTAGATTACAATACACACAAAACGTTGTTTTCCACATTCACGTTTAGCAGTACAGAGCCATTTAGGAATTAGTAAATACATATAATGGCTATGATCATTGCTGAGATATTTAATACAACTTCCTTTGTACCAATCCATCAATTGCTTAAGAGGTGGGAGATGGAGTGTGCAACTACTGTAAAGGGATTGAAATCAACCCACGAACCTGAGCACATTTCTCTGCGCAAGGCTCCTGTCGTGAGCCCGCACAGTAAACACTTCTTAGCGAGTGCCACGGCAGTTCCTGCTGCAGAGAGTCCCTTACGGACTGTGCCTTTTCTAAAGTTTTTCATGGTGCTTTAGAGCCTCTCTCTGTTTGGAAATGTCATTACTTTTTCTTTCTAGTAAGAAATTCTGCCCATTCTGATTTGAAGCGTTAGGAATGTATGGGGAGTCTATCCAAGGGATGTTTCCTATCTATCTGGTCTTTCAGTGTTGGGGTAAATATCTATAACTTAATTCAAGCTTTTCATGCAATAGGATGGATGAGTTCGAGATGCTAATATTAATAATATTTTGTAGGAAATAGTACAAATGAAGATTAGTATACCAAAGTTTGCCATGATTTTGTGATGAAAACAGGTTAGTGTGTGGGTGTCTAAGCAGAGGGTCCACTCACCTTCACCGTTATTGTGTGTAAGGTTACGTCCGTGTGTTTCTACCAGGTCTAAATCAAAAAATGAAGGCTTGATAAACACTTTCTGATATTTGTGAGAGGTCTTTTTCATCAATGTAGTATCCACTCGGATGTAGAATGTCTCCTAAAATTGTGTAAAATGTATTTCCCGTAGTTACTGGTGCTGGCATTACTGGCTAAGCTATTCCTGAATCAATGTCTTGTGTGCTCAGGACGCGTGGTGTGCAGTCGCCCTCTGCAGAGCATCCCGATCGCTCTGATCTGTCCGCGAATACAGAAGCTTGGTCTAGTCCGTGTAGGACGAGCTTGGTCATTTACCAAAGGTGGTCGATTCTCTTATGCTTTCTGCTAGTGATTGTAGTGAGGGGCATAAACTTTCACATTTTAAATGGATTTGGTTGTTGAGTACTTCTGCCCTTAGGGTTAAGAGATTACCTTGCAGTATATCACACAGTTCTGTTGAGTCATCCCTCCGCTGTTTGTTTCAAGCCTTTACTGTAGTCCTGGCCCCGATGGATGGACTGTTTGTCTGATTTCTCTCCTCGCAGGCAGTATCATGCCGATTTCATCCTGAATTTCCTTAAAACGCTGATGATTTTTCTTTTCTGCTGAGAGTGGGTGTGACCTTAACGTTGGTGTTTCTCCTTCCTGTATTCCTGCCCAGCTAAAGTTTGCTGCTAGGCCTATTGCAAGTCCTCAGTGCAACAGCTTCCTTCCTGGTTGACTCAAGTTTGGTATTCCACTTAGCGAAGAAATTTGATATTTCAATTCTTGTATTGCTTTACATTGTGGTATGAGATTAGTAACCTTAAATTGTCCCTGTATTTTTTCTCTTACTTCTTGAAGTCCTCCCTTCAGGGGATATTGTTTAGTATGCGGAGCTCTGGAGGGTTTAGGCACCACACTTGGCTCCATTTTTACCTGTGCTAATTTTGCTTTCTGTAGTCGGAGGGTTTTGGATGGAATGAAATCACCTCACACAATTGGTAAATTATCCATTCCTATTATATTTTCAACAGTAGGTGTTGTATATCCTCTTACTTCTACAGGTTCTAAGTTATAGCGAAGAATAAAGAATTTAATAGCAAAGCAATGTGTACTTTTACCATCTAGTCCTTCTACATTAACAGGAAATCCTTTTTCTACTTTAAAATCTTCCTTAACTTAGATTGTTTGGGATGCCGTGTCTGTAAGGAATTCAGCTACCTTTTCCCGACTATTTACGAGGATAAGCTTACTGTAAGGCCTATTATCTAATATCTGTTGCCCCGGTCTAAGGCCGGGATTGACCCGGGTTCTTTGAAAAGAAGTCTTGAGCAGCTTTTCTGGCCTGTCCTTGGATCTGCTTCGTGTTGCTTTGCCTAGGCTTAAAATTCTGACCTGCATAATTGTTTCTGGTTATAAATGTATTCTGTCCTTTGTTTCTACCAGTAATCCCATTTTTCCTTTGAGGCCGAGGCTGGTAATTCCTACCTGGCTGTTGCCAGTTTCTATTTTGGGGTGGTTGCCATTTTTTGTTATTGTTCGCCCCTTGGCTTAAGTTCTGCCTGGGCGCATTATTCCACCTTGGGGGTCCCGATCTGTTTTTCTGTTTTTGGCATTGAAGGTGAATTTGGGTTGGCCATTCAGTTCAGATGATAACTTAAATATATTCAATATGTCCTCAGCCATCCTGGCATGAGCCATAGCCTGCATATGTGACATCTTTAGGCAGGTGGTGCTCCTTAAGAATTGCCTTTTTCACGCATAGTGCTGCTGGTACCTGTGAGGTCATAGTCATTCCTGTCCTGTCATAAATCAGAGAGAGCATTGCCATTCTTCTAGTGATATCAGTGGCCTGTGTGAGGTCTGTCCATTTCGCGCCATCTCCACCCGCTGCCATGTCCGCTGTGGGGAGTGCTGCCCTCTATACTCTTGCTGTCCGGTCCTGCAGCATGAGAATTTGATTTGCCCCTCTCTGTGTTAGCTCTGGTAATGCTGTGTTAACTGCATTTTGTTCTGAAATGCCTGGAATTGGCCTCACTTCTCTTCCTGTGAGTAAAATAGTATCGGCTCGTTTGTCCCAAATCATAGCCAGCCAATCTACATCGGTCATGTCCTTTTGCTGAAAATCTTCTCATTTTCTGCTTTTCCCATTGGTGTATTCTCAGCCTTCCTCTGTACTGTACTGTGGCCTTTCTTGTCCATGATTATAGTCTACTATTAGCTTTCCTTAAAACTACTGGTCTGGCAGCCTGTAAGTCCTCCAGTGGGTTGCCATATTCTCCATGATCCTTTGGATGAGGATCATCATCAAATTAACCTGAATGGTGTCAGATGACTTACTTCTTTGTATAATTCTGTGCACTACATTCTTGCCTTTATTCCTATTGGCACCTACGTGGGACAATGTCTTCAGAAGCAGTGCCGGCACTTCTTTGTTATCAGCTCTATCAATGAGCGGTTCCAAATTTCATGGAACAGTGAAGACTGTCCATACATCCTCAATGCTCTGTATGGACAGTTTCTTATGAACTTGCACCTCGGTCTCATAGCAGGGGTCTTCCACTGGTAGGACAGGGTTTGGCCTCCTCCTGAGAGTCACACCTTTTATAAGTTTCTGTCCAAAGGCTAACATTTTCACAAAATTGTGGTAGTTGCCTTATATAAATTTTAGTTATGCTAATTCAACCTGCCACCTCCACAAGTTTTGTCACAATGGAGCTTTCTTTCTTTAGCCTTATTACAGATCTGTTTCGTGAGCCAATCCCACATTGGTTGCTGCCAACCATGCCAATGTCATGAGCATATGTCTGTGATATAGCCTTTCCTATAAGTTGGCCCAGCAACAGCTCAGCTAGCCACCTTCTGGGCAGCCCAGCCCCAAGTAATAGACAAGAGTCAAACACTATAACTATGCTGTTCACTCGGCTTTTATTGAATGCAGGTCACTCAAAGTAGAATATTAACACACTTTAATATCCTACTCAGACTCTAACAATATAAGAGAAACATAAAATATACACCCAGCAATCAATGTGTTATAACGAACCCACGTCCCAGAGTCTCAGTCTGCAGGATGAGGAAACAGCACGGTAGGCAAGGGTGTCATCACCATCTTGTAAAGAAGGATCTCTGGGCCCAGGTGGGCATCAGGGCAGGCAAAGTCCTCAGTCCAGCAGGTCAGAGCCTCCGGCAGCTGATGTCAGGGGAGATCAGCGTGGCGTCGAGCAGCGTTCTGCTGTGTGGAGCTTAGTTGTCTCAGCAGTGGTCTGAAACCTGCCTCAGTTATACCTTGCAAGTGGTAGACTCCAACTTTCTGGGTCTTTTCAGTAAATATCTTGGCACCCCTTATGCCAAGTGGGCAATTTGCCCGGGAGCCTATGGGTGGTACATGGCTATTCTGCTTGACGCACCTGCTACCAAGTGTGGAATTTCCCCATCGGAACCCACCTGCGGGTGGTCCTGCTCTGCAGA